ATCATAATCATCATCATCATCATCATCATCATCATCATCCTCATCATCATCATCATCATCATCATCATCATCATCATCATCATCATAATCATCATCATCATCATCATCATCATCAAAACCTAATGGTTTTTTATCATTTTTATAGATGAATGGATCTTTTATCAATTGAAATTGATTTTTATACATTTCATCATTGGAATTTTCACCGTCTTTAGGATAATAATAATCATTATGAATAATTAAATGTTGATTATTAAAATTAACCATTATATAACGAATTTTTGCATTATTATGTTGACGAATTAGTTGATTATTTGATTGAAGTTTAAAATTATGTATCAAATATTTTATAGAATTTTGACCAAATTTTGTTACAAAATACAATAAAATATTATGATATTTATGATCAGTTTTATTTAAACGTATCATTGAATATGATGATATTTCATCATCATCGGATTCGGTTGATGATAAACAAAATGTTTGATTTATTGATGATTGAATTTGTTGAAATTCATAACGATAACCATTATTTAAAATGAATAAATTTTTTTCCAGAACAAAATGTTCATCAATATTATTATATGAAATTTTTGTACAATTTTCAAATTGATGTAAATTATTATCGACAATAGAAATGACAAACATTTTATGTTCAATACCACAATTAATATATTCATTTGATTTATCAAATTTTATTGGTTTTGTATCCATTATTTTAAATACCAACAATGATAATAATAATGTTATTTGGATGGTGATAAAAAAGTAATTTACAATTTTCATTTTGAAGAGAAACATCATTTTGAAAAAATTGAGCCGAACAAAAACAAAATAATTTTGCGAACAGGAATTCGAACAAAACTTAAAAAAATTCTTAAAATTCATCATCACAATCGATATAATCGATATTTATAACAATCGATTATTCGAACACAATTTACATTGATTTATTTATTTTTTTTAAATGGTGATTTTTATTTACTTTTACTTTTACTTTTTTTTGTTTGTTTGTTAGTCAAATCAATCAATCAATTATATCATCAAAATATGATGTTGTTCGAAAATAAAGTATTAATATCATTGCAATAATAACATTGACTATAATTACAATAACAAATGTTGAAATAGAAAATTTACCAACTTTTTTACTATTTCCCATTTGATTTCCTTGATTATTTGCCATTAATTTTTCATTAAAAATAGCTTCTCTTTTTGTTAATCTGTTGGTATTACTACCACTACTGCTGGTTAATGGTTTACAAACAAAAAAATCATCAAATGATTTGATTATTAAACGAAATTCATGTTCAATATAATCTTTACGTAATATTCTACGATCAATAATTAATACTTTTTTTCTTTCATCCGATATTAAAAATAATTTATCATGATATGATGATGTAAATGATGTATGTATATTATGAAATATTTTATCAGTATATGAATATGATTTACATTTATTTTTTCCTAAACGTATAACAAAATCATTGATTGTATGATTATATGATATACAAAAATAACCAATCGGTTGATGATTATCAATAGGATCATTATCGAGTAACATGTCTTTAATCAATGGATATTGATGTGTAGTTGCATCATTATAAATAATATATTGTTTATTAAAATTATTTACCAATATATAATGTATATTTGGTAAATTTGGATGATTACGTAATACAAGTAAATCTTTTTGTTGATCCAAATTATGTATACGTATTTCTATAGTTGTTTTATTTAATTTTTTAACAAAATATAATAATGATGAATTTGTTCGAAAATCATGACCATTTTGATTTAAACGTAATATTGAATAGGAAAAATATAATTTTTTTGACCCAAAATTTTCAATTGTTGATGATGGTAAACAATATGATTTATTTAATGATGATTGTAAAACATTAAATTGAAAACGATTACCATCGAATAATGTTAATTGATTTTTATCCATATCAAAACGATTACGAAAATCACTATAAATAATTAATTGACAATCAAGAAATTGATAAAGATTATCATCCATTACGGAAAAACCAAATGTTTTATCTAATGATTTAATACCACAATCCATATGAATAAATGGTGTTGGAATACCAAATGTTGTTGTTTGATGATAAATTAATAATTGTAAAAAATTGATGATAACAGTGTTTATAATCGTTGTTGTTGTTGTTGTTTTCATTTTGGAAACTTTCAAATTGATTTTATAACGTTGACAAACAGAAACAAAAAATTCGAACGGCAGGATTTACACAATCAAAAAACAAAAAAGAGAAAATTAAAAAAAAAAACAAAAAACATTCAGATATAATCCACAATCGATACAATCGATATTTATATAATCGATTCGAATATGTTCGATTAATCGAACAAACAATTTTACTTTGATTTGATTATAATTTAACTAGCATTGCAAGCCATTGGCCATTGGCTTCGTCTACTAAGTAGACGAAGTCTAGCTTAGTCATAAGGCCAATTCCAATGCAAGCCAGCCATTTGTTTATGTAAAAATCAAAAGACCCTTATAAATAAAAAATGCAAGCCATCCATTTTTCGAGCATGCGCATTGAAATTGAAAAAAGTGTTTCGTCTCAGCCAGTCAGTGTTTTACTTTTTTATGTTATTGTGGATGTTNTTTTTTTTTTTTTTTTTTTTGAAAAAATGGTGATTTTTATTTACTTTTACTTTTTTTGTTTGTTTTTGTTTGTTAGTCAAATCAATCAATCAATTATATCATCAAAATATGATGTTGTTCGAAAATAAAATATTAATATCATTGCAATAATAATATTAACTATAATTACAATAATAAATGTTGAAATAGAAAATTTACCAATTTTTTTACTATTTCTTCCCATTTGATTTCCATGTATATTGGCCATTATTCTTCTTTCATTAAAAATAGTTTGTCTTTTTGTAATTGGTTTGGATTTTTTACAAACAAAAAAATCTTTAAATGATTTTTTTTCCAATACAAATTCTTCTGCTACTCGTTTTGGTGATAATAATTCTTGTTCGGTAAATAAAACTAATTCCATTTGTTTTGAAATAAAATATATATAATTTCCATATGAAAATGAAAAATCAATTTTTTCAAAAAATGAATTAGTTAAATACCATTGATCACATGGAATATCATCCAACATAATTGTTAATTGTTTATTTATCATTTCAATACAGATAAAACCTAATGATTTTTCTTCATGGCCAAGATGTTTATAATTATCTTCAATACCAGGATCATTAATTAATTGATATTGATAACCATTACTATTATCATTTTGATCATGATAATCATTATGTAATACAAATTGTCTATTATACATTGATACTAATATATAACGTATATTTGGATTTTTATGTTTTAATATAAAACGTTTATCATTTTGATAATTAAAATCATGTATCATATATTTTATTGAATTTTTATTATATTTTGTTACAAAATATAATAACATATTTTTATGATATAAATGACCACTTTTATTATAACGTATCATTGAATAACTTGATGATGATAATGATAATGATTCATTTGATGATAATAAACAAAATGATTCATTTATTGTTGAATCCATTTCATACAATAAATAACGATAACCATTCGATAATAATATATTATTTTCATATTCATTCAATCTATGTTCAGTTATTGGATATATAATTTCTGAACAATTTTCAAATTGATGTATATCACCATCTTCAATTATTGATAATCCAAACATTTGTTCATTTAAACCACAATCAACATCAGATAAATCTGGTGATAATGTTGGTAATGATGATGATGATGACGATGGTATTGAAAATATTGAAAACGATATGATCATCCAAATGGCTAAAGGGTTGATGGTTTTCATCTTCTTCTTTTTTGTTGTTTTGTTGGTTGGATAAAAAAATCAAAGAAAAATATTATACTTCGGACTATTTTTCATTGAAAACAAAATGTTTTTCCATTCATTTTAAATCAGTTTTTTTCCGGTTTCTGTTTTTGTAATTTTGAATTAAATTAAAATTAATTTAACAAAATCAAAATTAACGTCGCGATGCACTTAACTTGATTTACTCAATTTTTGTAAAAATTTTTTTTTCGTTTGTAAAAATCATTAAAAGATAAATATTTTTTTTTTGTAATTTATAAATTGATTTTATTTTTATTATTTCTTTTTTTATAAATATAAATAATCAACATAACACAAACAATATCGATTATAATCATTATTATAAATAATATTGATATTTTTCCTTGAACTTCGGATTTAATTTCATCCATATTATCATCATCATCATCAACATTACAAACTAAAAAATCTTTTTTTAATATTATTTCAAATTTAAATGTTTGTGATAAATGATTAATATTGAATAATTGTTGATCAACAACTAGTATATTTTCTGTTTCACTTGATAGAAAATATATTTGATCCAAATATGTTATTGTAAAATTAATTTTACTAAAATATTTTTCAATTAACATCCAATTTTTACATGGATCTGGTTGTAATTGTATTAATTTTTTCTGTTCATCATTAATACATAGGTAACCAATAACATTTTGATCCATATATATTGATGGATCTTTTATTAGACCATATTGTTTACCATTACTTTTATCATTATGTAAATCATCATTTGTTGTATGATAATCATT